AACACTTGGGGGCCCCAGGACAACTGCACAGTTCAGGATGGGGAGCAGAGAACGGGCTTGTAAACACTTGCAGCCTTCCGGTCTCAGCTGACACAGGAGAGCCAACACAGTGCTGTGCTAGAACTCCTGTATTGGAGGTGACAGGTTCAATAAAGAGAACCTGTCACCTCCAAAATGCTATCACAAAGGGGCTTGTTAGCTCCTGTGTGATAGCAATAAAGTAAAGTGGAAAAAAATAAACAAATGCATAAAATAAATAAAAATGTAAAAAAAAAATCAGAACTAATAATTAAAATAAAAACAATAAAAGTTATAAAATATAAAGTAAAATTAAATAAGATTTTTAAAAAAGTAAAAAACAAATACCAATAAAGTGATAAAAAATAAAATGTTTAAATGTTTGAATATGTTTGTTTCCCTATTTTGCCTAAGGCAGGGATGCTGAAATATGTTTAAATCCCAGTGCCCAAATTAAAACACAATACCAAACTTATTTTAAGTGTTGGCACTTTGAAATAAATTGATTTTGCGTTGCAGTTTGGGCATTCGGGCTCAAAAACGTTAGCCATCCCTGGACTGTAACAACCTGCTGGGAGTTTGCATGATGTCCCTGGGCTTGTGTGGGTTTCCTCCGGGTACTCCAGTTTCCTCTTGTATGTGTGTATGTGGGATAGGGACCTTGCATTGTAATCTCCTTGAGGGCAGGAAATTATGTAAAGCGCTGCATAAATTGTCGATGCTATATAAATACCTGTAATAAATAAATTACCTCGATACAAATTAGTAAACTGAACATGAGATTGTAATCCATCACGGGATTGAGGTTGGAGCCGTGGCTACTTCACAACACACACAAGGACCATAGGGAACAACTTTACATTTGAGATTGTGTGTGTGATTGATAAAGGACTTTTACATGTTCTTCATCAAATAAAGGGGTGATCTTTTCATTGTGCATTCACCTACAAAAGCACTATCCAATAAGAGGGTAAAGTCATGGGGATCTGTCTGTGCTTTCATGTCTGTGGTTAGCTTTATGCTATTATGACCTTCACTATTTGTACACCTGTTTTCTATATACTATTTTCCATTTCCAGATCTATAAGCTTCTCTATCATTTACTGGCAAAGCATACTTCTATTACTGACGCGTTAAACCTGATTTCCATTGTCTTTGATTGCAGAACATGGACACTGTGTGGCACACCAGAGTATCTTGCACCTGAAGTCATTCAGAGTAAAGGCCATGGAAGAGCAGTGGACTGGTGGGCTTTAGGCATCCTAATATTTGAAATGTTGTCTGGGTGAGTGTTTCTTACATCAGCCTAAATGCTCCTTATTTACTTGTTATGCCTTTAACAATATGAAAAAAAAATCAGTCCATTATGGTAATAAACAAGTACAACTTTCCAAAATACTGTACTCATGTATATACAGAAAGATTGTGTTAAAGAAATACAAATATATGTAAAGCTGAAGGAATTTAAACTTTGTGTGGGAACTTTTTATTTGCCAAAGGATTTCTTATTCTATGCAGTCAATTTTGTGATCCAAACACCCCTCTCATATACATATAATGCATATACACATGCATATCACACATATACTTGCTCAGTAGTATTGTTCTTGATAATATCAACTGTTAGTAGATATTTAAACGTTCAATTTATTTAAAAAAAAAAGGTTTTCTGACCTGTACTGCAGTTCTAATTTTGAGCACTAGATGGCAGAAGTTAGCCATCAGGCAACATTTGCAGCATTTTTTTTAACATACGTGGATTTGCAAAATGCAATCACTTTTAAAGCTGAATTTTTGGCACAACAGCTTTAATATCTTTTAATTTGTTATTCGCCTATGTTGCCTGTTGATCTAATCATATAAAATCAGGTGACATCAGATGTGGAAATACAGTTGCTGCTGTACTTCGACCTGCCCGCTGACCCCAGCATCGCAGTCATGTCTATGTAGAAGTCTGGCTTCACATCTGGCTCCTAGCAGTGTGGTAATGAACAGTTATTCTTCATGTGCTTTGTATTAAAGGAGCCCATTCATTTGAATGGGCTGCCAGAGCAGACAAAAACATACCTTCCGACGCAGCCCACCACACCTCTCAGTAGTGTGTTCATTTATGTTGTATGTGCATTGTAAGGGCATTGTGGAGGTGTGCTTGGCTGCCATTCAAAAATTCATGGCACCGCAACGTAGCAACGCATGTTACCAGATTGCAGCTTTGTCCTTGAGCCAAGCATGACTGTTTAGATCTGTTAAAATCCTACTATCAACCACTTGCTAATGCCAGCTTTGGGATACCATCACCTGCCGCTTTACCTAGCTTTGGGCTTCTCTTGCCATTGCCGTGTGTCGGGACATGGCTCCTTTTTCAGACAGAACAGCTGAGCCAATCATAAGAACAGTAATATGGCCATACTTACTGTATATTCAGTTACAAGTTTTTAGCATATCTATCTTTAAAAGAAACACACCTACATAGTTTAACTGGCATACTTTGTCAATCAGCTAATACCATAAAGGCTTAATATAATATGTGTAAGAGGGACTATTTAGCCACAAACACCTAACAGATGAAGAGCAAATTATTATCAAACATGGTAGTAAATATCTAAGAAATTAAGGGATTATATAGGTTACAGTTTTGTAATGACTATTCAATACAACCACATATTGAGCCAAGCAGTTCATTTCTATAATAAACTTTTTAAAAGACCAAACACAAAATGTTCCTTTATAATAAACATTAAAAAAATAAGTGCTATTTTTTTTTACATTCTAAAGGTTCATAAATGGCTAGAAATTCCTCCAGGCAGACCAATTATTGCTAGTATGGAGAGTATATCTAGTTACCTGTCTCAGTGTATTGACTGTTTGAACACCCCTTGGGTCTGCACTTATCAGCATTTGTATTTTTTTTAAACAAAATCATTAGTTTTTGCTCTCACTTGCTGGAATCACACACTTTTATATATTTCTCCAAGCAATACATTCTATTTTAAAATATTGCTGTTTATGCAGCAAAGAGCTGGTTTATTGTAGAGTGTACATTGTTTTCTACCACAAATAGTGTAAAAATATGAGTGTTGGGGCTGCAGAAAAGGAGATTGAGGACTCTGTGTCCCCAATCTCTCTTTTTTTCTATTTCAAAAGGGAAATATCAGGGGTCTGTTTAGACCCGAGATATTTCCCCAAAGCCCCCGTCAGTAAAGTTTAAAAAAAAAAAAAAGAAATAATAATTTCATAAAAACCTTATTGTGATGTATGTTATGCGCCACACTGAGTTGTTAAAACACACTGCAGTGCTTGATTTTTCTTATTTTTTTACTTTTTGTGTGCTCTGATAATGATTTTAGTGTATTTTTAGTGAAAATATTGATTTAATAATATTTGCACAACTGTTGCGGGACCTATAAAATTAGTAGCACCGTCTTTCTATTCTACCGGTCCTGCCCATTCAGAAAACGTATGGTTTAGAAGGGTCTTTTACAAGCTCTAAAAGCTGCAGTTCAAAATTAACCAGTTGACATCCGGGGTGTTAAACCCCCTTCCCATGCAGGCCATTTTTCAGTATTCAGCGCTGCGGTACTTTGACTTTTATTCCGTCATGCAGCGCTGTACTGAAATTAAGTTTATACCATTTTTTTGGGGACAGATAGAGCTTTCTTTTGGTGGTATTTAATCACCACTGGGGTTTTCATTTTTTAATATGGAAAAACTACAGTTTTGTTTTTAAAAAAAAACAGTTCCCCCTATATTAAATTCTAAAACATTTATTATTACCCAATTTTTTAAAAGACAGGGTCACGTCAGGTAAAGAGACACAAAACATGTCAAGCATTAAAATTGCGCATGCGCGCGAAACCTCAAAAAAACTACATTACCCAAAATTGGCCATAGGCGACGCATTAAAAGCTTTTACTGCTCATCAGTTTAGTGTTATCAGTGATTGATGGCCCTAAAATGATTGCTCTCACTGCGACGTTCGCTTCAATATGTAACATGTGTAGCGCAATTGTCATTTTCGCTCGCTGGCGCATGCAACGACTATTTACGTTTATATGTGCGTAAGCGAAGGGGGGGGGACTTAAACATTGGGGGGGGTTACTTTTTTTATTTGTGACTTTTATTTTTTTTTTACTTTTTTTATTTATATAGATTTTTTTTTTACACTTATTGTTATTGCTATTACATAGGGGGATACCATCCCCCTATATAATAGCACAGGTACACTGACAGGTCCTCTTTATGGAGACATTAGGGGTCTCTGGAAAATTAGGGGAAATTCACGCCATACAACCGATCGGCGGCTATAGAGCCGCTGATCGGTTGTATGTGAAACAGCCGTTAACGGCTGTAGTAATGAGCGCGTCTTTCCTGCCCGTGCGCGCGAGCAGGAAAAAAATGCCGTCTGGAGTCTGCTGTCCGTCCGTTTTTTCTTAACGGGCGGACGGCAAGAGGTTAAGAAAAGGTGAACAATTGCAAACATGATCTGGCCAGCTGAGGTCCAAAGTGTTAGGCAGGGCTTGGCAGCGAAAGGAGCCCCATAAAGGAAATATTTTTTACTTTTTATAATTGCTTGTGGTTAAAGATGAACTAAACTCTGGAAGTTGTGCCCCAGAAAAAGGGCATGAAGAAGGGGAAAAAAACTAGTCACCAGTATTGCCTCTGGTCTCCCTGCAGCTGATCTTTTCCTCATTACTGACTTAACCTGCCTCGCTGTGCCCTGTGTTTCCATGTGGAGGTGGCCATCTTGATGGAGGCTGGATTTTGCTTCCTCATGCACAGCATCCAGCAGGGAGAATAGTGAGAAGCTCAACTGTGACCTTGTCAAATCACACTTCAAATCTCATAAGGCAGTCCTAAGAATGCAGTGTCTTAGACCTCACACTTGAGATATAGAGCTATGAGGCTGTAAGCCTAGGCATGCTCAAATACTAGGAAGTGCAATGCTGTTTTTCCAGGAGAAGTTGAAGGCAAATGGGACATTAAGCGCAACTTCAGCAGAAAAAAACTCACCAGTATCACAAGAGATAAAAATGCTGTTGGCATAAAGCAAACCTCAGCAGGAGGGGGAGATGGAGTTGCACTCATGGAATCTGCAGCACGTACATACGAGTGGGCACAGAAATACATCAGGAGCTGTTCTTCCCCCTGCATGTAGAAGAACACATTTGACAGCCCTAGAATGAAGCCAGCAGCGCAGGAGATTTGTTTTCTGCCACCAGAATTTATATCTGCTGTTGAGTATTTATTTGCTGTTTTTTGTATTTTTGTGCTGGAAGTTGGGCTTTAAACTGGGTGGGGAGAAGATCAATAGAACCTCAGTCAGAATGTATTGTATTGATGGCAGCATCTGTCTCCCTACACTGCATCAAGCAGTGTGACACCTTCTGAAGCTGGCTTAGAAAAAAGATACAGTTTTTTTTCCACTTTTGATGGGTCATTTTCAATGGCAACGCTCCAATCAGATAAGGACCGTTTCTACGTCACATTGCAAGTGCAATACTGTGTTTTATTTATCTATAATAAATAGATTAGGAGCTATCTTGGTGCAGCTTGTTTTTGGTTTAATATTTTACAGAGTTTACAGCTTCCCAAAACGACTTTATGTGCAGTGGGCCTGCCCCTGCATTGCAAAGGTTAAATGCTCATTTAGGTCTAGGATATTGGGCAATGGCCGGTTCTCACCACAAAGTCTGGCTTGCTTTCCAGAGCGTTCAGCATCTGGAACGCACTGGAAAGCAAGCCGGCCGGCTCCCTGCATTCAGGGGCGGGAGGGGGAGTGGCAGTGCATTGAAGTCAATGGCACCGCAGCCACGCCCCCCACCCGCAGTGCGATAGCCTGCATCGGGAACGAAGGCACATTAGTGCTTGCGTTCCGGTCCAATGCGATCTGCAATTATAGCCCTAAAGCAGGTTTACTTACCAGATCCATATTACCCTGGGAGCCAGCATTCAGCTCTCTCCCCCATGATCAGGCTTGTGGACTGTACTGTGTGGTCCTCCTAGCAGGCCCTGCACTTTCACTGCCTTCCAGACCTACTGCTGAATACACCCCTGAGCTTTTGCTGCTGCTCTTGTCATTTTCCACTAATGCATTTTGGTAAATATGTCTCTTTTCTCAAGATCACACTGTATATTTTACTACTCAATTCATTAACAATAGTAAAAATAGCAGTAGTTAAGACTTGCCAGCACACCTACGTCTCTGACTTACTGAAGATTACAGAGGATGATCCCTACCTTATCTTTAATGTGTTCACATCACTTAGTACACATTCCATTTCATTACGCTAATAGAATCCAGCTTTGTTGGTCATCATAACCTGCTAATGGATAACTAATGGTAGCAGCCCTCCTGTCATATGTACTGTATAAGTGATGTATGAATACTTGAGGATAAGGAAGTTAAAGATGTAACCTACAAGTCTGCGTACAGTATATGGAGAAGATTAAAAGAAATATAATCCACAAAACAGATGTTTTTACATTTGTAATGAGTGAAAGGGAAAAGCGCAGGAAGTTGGTTTATCTGCATTCATTGTACCTGACGTCAATACTTATTTTTACATGCAGCATTGAGGCTGGCTCCTTTAAGTCTGTGCTTAAAATGTCTGGAGTTAACTCCCACACTCCACAAAATAATGAGAAGTAGACGATGTCCAGGTAACCTCAGTCTATCAAATGAAGTAATACCCTAACACTCCATGAGGCATACTCTGGAAAAATATACACACTAGTGTGTTATCCTACGGGATTCATTAAAGAGGCACTCTTAATGCTATTTGGAAATTCTTAAGTAATTTATTACCCAACCAAAATTTTACTAGACCTGTATAAGGTCTACATGATATTATTGTTTATAGTTGGCATTGAAACAAAATACTTATTCCTAAAAGACTTGCAGTGATTGTGTTTCAAATCTTTCTGTTTTCATAGGTTTCCTCCATTTTTTGATGACAACCCATTTGGCATATATCAGAAAATTTTGGCTGGCAAGATAGACTTTCCAAGGCATCTAGACATTTATGTGAAGTAAGTGCTATCATCGTATAAACCTTTTAATAATTTGACCTCTTTCTGGCAGTGGGAGCTTGCCCTTTAAGGGGTTCTGGTGATTATGGGATTGGCTGTAACAGTGGTCATGTGACCAGGAGGCCATAAATGCTGACGGGAGCTGTCGATGACGGTGTGGTCACAGTGCTGGGGGCGTCGAGTAAGTGAGCTCCCGTCACTGAGCTGCATCGCTGGCTGTACGCATATATGTGGCAGCATGGTGTTCCCACTGCCTTGCTGCCACCTATATACATACAGCTCATGGAAAGGAGTTAATAAGTACGTTTATTCAAAAAGATCATTCATTGCTCCTAATGCAGCAGCTGATGTCTTATTCATCTGGCTGCATTCTCCACAATATAAATGAATGACACAAAAAAAGTCATAGCAGTGTAGGTGGGAGGTTATTAGGTTGAACAGCTGCCTTCTTCCTCGAAATGCCTGGACAATACGTTGTATTTCAACTCTATCAGACTTCTAGTTTTTAGCGTTGGGAAAGTATTTGTCTCTGAACTTTGTCTTTGTACTGTGTGTTGTCACAGTACAAGTTAAGTCTGGGAAGGAGGGCTTACTGTGCCAGGTGTTGCATTGATAGTAGTCTGAATGGAAGAGCAATGGCACTGATTTACACAGTATAGTCTAAATAAGCTGCTTGTCAACAAAAAAAGTTAGACACTAGGGGGTAGAGACATTAAAAAAATGCTAGACATCAGGTGAATCATCACATTTCCCAGTAACTACCATGACCATTTACTCCCCTGTCCAAATAAAATGCTTCCAAAATGTGCAAAGCCATTAGGCCTGCAAAACTGCATGTGCATGAATCACTTCTTCTTTTTTTTTGCTATGTGCTGGAATTTTCTAGTAAAACCGCAACTTTTGCAATCTCTGCCTAAATGTTCTTTATAACAAAAAGCTGCATATAGATGAATGCTTTTAACACCACTGTGTGCATGGCCAGTTTTATTACGTAGGGCAGCAAAGAAACTTAGTTTCAATGCAGGAGGGTTTTGAACAACAAGCCCATAGCAAAAAACAAACAAAACATCTCGTCCAAGCAACTGACCAAACTTAGGTCAGTTCCTGACTAACAATCAGGCAACCCTTGTAGCTTTTTAGTGTTCTGTCAGCAATCAGCCTTTTCATGTAGCAGCAGGCTCCCACAGCAGATAGAGATAGGGAGAGAGAGAGCTCTGAGCATCAGTCAGCTCACATATATAATGGCTTGTGGACAGCTGGGACTAATTATAGGGTCTGGCCACCAGGTAAGATGTGGACCTAGGAATTGAAGTTTTATCCCACCCAAAGCTCCACAAGTCCCAGAAAGGGCAGGACGTATTAAGATCTGAGAAGCCAACATTTTGTTTTCTCTGTTATAGATACAAATTCTAGAGCCCCTCACCATATGTATGTGAAAAACCTAGGTGACACATATACATCGTCCACAATTTTGCCAGCCAGTGCCTCAACATTTATATGTAAATAATTGTATAAAAGGCATCAATTTATTTGCTTTATAGTTTTTGCTGAGTCAGGCAAAATATAAATTCATACATATTAAAAGGTAAACTATGGGTAGGTTGAGAGGTTAAAAAAAAGTTTTTTTGTTTGGTGTTTGCTATGCGTGGTTTTCTTTACTAGTATGTTACTACAGTGCAATTGTGATCATTCGGATTGTCTGATGCACATGTACAAGTTCTTTCACTTCCACTAATCTTTGGCCCAAATTCTCCCTCTATTACCTCAGTAAATGCTCATATAATACCTTTCAGTGCACTGAGAACATCACAGCATAGAAAAACAAGGAAACTAAAGATTGTATACCATTTGGATGTCAGTTGAAGTCACCTGGACAATTTGAGCAGAAGGTTCTGAAGGTTATGAGAAAATGTACCCAATGTCAGTTTGCTGTCTCCAGAACCTACCTGTGCTGCTGTCCACAACTGTTCTTGCTACATGCTTGATTCATGTGCATCTTCCCCTGCTCAAAGGATTTTCTCTTACCTAGAATCATGTGCTAAAGCCTGCTCTGTCCATGTGTTTAGATATACCCACATTTCCGCTGTTGTTTCCTTATTGATCTCTTACTCTAGTTTCTAATAACCGTTAGGGACCTCTGCCTATTTTTCAACAACCCTGTTAGCCTTCTTGACCTCTTGCTTGTTTGACCCTGCTTTTGCCTCTTGATTCTGTGCTCGGTATAAGAGCCACGGCCTGGGTGCCTTACATAGCAAAGCTCATCCTCCCTTGCGGGGTGCAATGTTGAATACAGGGCAGCTTCTTACATCTTTTGCCTTGGTCCTCTTTAAGTCCTATGCTCATCTAGTGACACAGATGGGCCACTATCACTGTACCCAAGCAGTTAAACCTACCGTAGGTATAGATACCATTATGTTTATGCACTGCCCTGGTGACTGCAAACAAGCTTGGACAAGCTGTATGCAGACTGGAATAAGTGACTTAATTATATTGGCTGTATCTCTACTTTAAACCAGCCGTTTTGGATTTACAATTGGCCACAGAGGTGTAAATGAATGATTTGCATGACTATATGCACTATCCTTAAATGAGAAATAATTGCCTTTTTGGGGGGGATTTGCCACAGAATGAGACATGTAAATACCTTTAGTACTGAAAAGGTTAATGATGGAACTGGTATTGTTATCAACGAAACTTTTGTAATCACTGTTTATAACTTGCAACCTATTTTAGAGCCCATATGATTTATATACTTGATTTACTATGTGTTTTTGACAGTTATAGGCCATTATTAATCATTTACACACATTAAGATTAAGTACACTACATTAAGATTACCGATTTCCTTGATTGCAGTACTTTAACATTCTTTAAGACAATGAAACCTATTCACAACAGACTTTTATTTTAAGCATTTAGTTTACATTTGAATCCACTTATAATCTGTACATCATTTGGAGGCTTTTGTGTCTGGTTTTTTTTTTTGGCGGTATGTAGTAATAGTAATATTACAGTGTTCCTGAACCAGGAAATAAGTGCTGCACATTACCATAGATCAAGACTGTAAGTATTGGAGGTTGGGAACATCATTTGCAGGGTATATCTGGTTTGGATTTGTTTTTTGACTAATGACTTAAGTGTCTCCTGGGAATTTCGAGCGGATATTAATCAGAAACATAGTACTGAGCAGTGAATGAAATCATGTGTTCCTGGGTCAATATTCAAGTTCAGTTGAGACATGATTCAACTTCTCATCACTATAGGTCAATGAAATGTGTGTCCTTCCTTATGTTGGGGATGCACAAAACTCTTCTAAATTTTGGGTTTGCTGATTACTATTGATGGGAACAAAAATATTATCATTTAGTCATTCTTCTGGTACGCCCAAAGTAATCACAAAGGAATGCTTATGGTCTATGCAGGTGGAACACATGACTCTGGTATATCTGTGCAGGAGGCTTTTCTGGTGCATTTAGTTATTAGGTTTTCTTATTCAGGCTGCATTTTTTTTTTCCATTTGAATATTTAATGTATTGGCGTAGTGGTTAGTGCTTCTGCCTTGCAGCACTGGGGGGTCCCTGGTTCCAATCCCGGCCAGGTCACCATCTGCAAAAAAGGAGTTTGCATGTTCTCCCTGTGCTTGCGTGGGTTTCCTCCGGGTACTCCGGTTTCCTCCCACACTCCAAAGACATGCTGGTAGGTTAATTGGCTCCTGTCTAAATTGGCCCTGTATGTGATATGGGGACTTTAGATTGTAAGCTCCTTGAGGGACTGACGTGAATGTGCAACTATGTGCAAAAAAGCACTGCGTAAATTGTCGCCGCTATATGCAATACCTATAATAATAGTATAAGCTTCCACAATGCTATACATAAAAGCTTCAATACAGGAAGTTGGGAATTCAGCACTTTTTCTTTGATTTGAAGGTAAACACAACATATTGCTCCATGTTGTCAACCATTTATATCTGAACATCTGGCAATGCACTAAAAACAGAGATGAAATGCATATAAGGGAGCTGTTCTATCTGCCAAAGGATTTGTATCTTTTCATCCAGTCCTGAGATTTCCAGCTATGCCACACACCACAGCCCTGTCCAGGAGACACAATTTATTTGTTAGTACAGCTAAGCAACGGTTACAGGTCTTGTCTCTTCCCTACCCTGTGGCTGGATATTGAAAGAAGAAGAAGAAGCAGCAGACTGATGAGCCCATCTTTCTGTCACTCTCCTTCTGTCTGCATGTCTGTTGCTTGTATATAAGCACTGCAGTACAGCTGACTGTTTTTTTGTGCTGCTCCTCCCACTCCCTGGCTGAGTTTTACTGTATAAGGAACTGAAATACCAAGTCAAATCCAGAAACTTACACTGCTTGCATTTAAAAAAAAAAAGTGCAATAATGAACATATTTAATGATATATTAATACAGACAAGCCTGCATTCATTTGTGTATTTTATACAAGCTTTATATATTCTTTGAAGTGGACATATCAGTAACTTTAAAAGCATGAAAGAATACATTCTGCTATAAAGCAACTAGGGCTACAACTAATGATTATGTTAACAATCATTTAGATGGCTGATCAGTTTTTCTATTAATCAGATAAAAACAATTAAATACCATCCTTCATTTAAAATGAAGTACAGTCCTTTCTGACCCACAAGATATACATCATATTCGGGATTGAACATTCTGATTCTGTGACTGTCCCTTGGTTTTGGTTTTGTTCTCTGTTCTCTGTTCCTGTTTTGGATACTCTGTAGTTCTGTGCTACTTCACACCCTCCTAATACATCCAGAATCTGTTATGTAGATACTTTCACATAGTTTGCAGTTGTAAGTGATTACACGTTCCAGCGTTACTGGCCTTTATACAAGTTACTTATGTCACTGTGTTCACATTTATGGCCTTCACTTTATGGATGTAACAAGTTGTAACCTTGTATTGTATTAGTGAAAACATTTTCAATAAAAAATTTATATGCTTAAAAAAAAAAAATGAAGTACAGGTATTCCTCACTTAACGACCAAGTTCCGTTCCTACGACCAGGTCGTTAAACGGATTGGTCGTTAAGTGAGGAACTCTATACAGTAATGTACTGCATTAGTACAGTACTGTATAGCGTTGCCGATGTACAGTACCGAACAGTGTACTGTACATCGGGCAATTAAAAATCGGAGGACACCAGTTCCGCCGGCAACACGGCGCACTGACACTGACGCGCAAGGTCGGAGGTCGATCGGCGGTCCGTCGTAAGTGCGAGTGGTCGCAAAACAGGTAAGTCGGTAAGCGAGGAACATCTGCACACAAATGCAGTGTTGCAAACATAAAGTTTACTTCACAATAAAACTGCACGCACAAGTTTTTGCAATCGCACTGCACTGGAACGTTTTGCATTGTGATACCATGCGTTCCAGTGCGGGCGATCACACTGTGGGTGGAAGGCGCGTTTGGGGTGCCATTAAAATAAATGGCATTGCAACGCATCTCCCGCAGCAGAATTTGCCAGGCCGAAACTGAAAATGACTTTTTTTTCCCACCTTTTTATAATAATGTTTTTAATAATTGTATATTAAGCACATGGCGCTTGAATAGCTTCAGCCAGGGGATGACAGCTGCCAGTGGCAACAGCAGCTGAATGTAAATACAGCAAGTATTGGGCTAGTGCAATAGCCAGCCTGCTATTGGCCATTTCAAATTGCAATAGCCAATAGCAGGCCTGCTATTGCATCCGCCCACTGCTTGCTGTGCCCTCCTCCCAGCATAGATGAGGTAGCTAGGGGATACAAGCAACTAATGGATCATGAGAATAGTTGACAACTATTCTTATTATTGATAATCAATTAGTTGGTTGCAGCCCTGAAAGCAACAATATACATTTTCCAAACACCATGAATATTAAGAAGTAATCCTTGAGCTCAATTCAAATGACTGTGCCCAGACAGAGCTGCAATCTGGGAGAATCATATCATCCATCTGCTGCAGGAATAAGTAAGCATTTCCTCAGTTTCCTCTCCATCAGTTATCAGCCCCTATGACTTCTTCTTAACAAGTGGCAGAGTAAGAAGCAGCAGTAAGCTATATGTATAGACAGCCAAAAGAAAAAAGTATACTGGGTGAGCACCAGAATTAACATTTGTGTCATGTATGCATTGGCATTGTACTCCAGCAAATACATCTTGATAATGTTTGACCAAAGATTGTGCCAGTATTGTGGGTTAAAGATAAATGAAATAATTGTCAGAATGTGTAGTGTGAGCACTTGAGGAGGTAATAACTACCTTTTGTGAGTATTGCTACAATTATATGCATACACTAAACACAAACAGACATATGTGATGCTTGGTCTGCTTGAAAGCTAAAGGTGCTTTAACTGCCTCCGGGACGGCCGGCCAGGAGCTCTCTAGATCTGAGCGGGCGTCTTCAGACGTTCGCTCAGACACGCCCCCCTTGCGCGCGCGGGAAATGGCCGCAATTTAAAACCGGGCAGCGATGCCCGTTAATATACATGCGACAGCCGGCGGATCGCTTGTATTTAGCGACGATCGGTGCTGCCCCCCCCTCCCTCTGCTGTCCCCCCATTGTCCCGCTGATCCCGGGCTCCGCTGTGCCCGGTGCGAGCCCGGGATCAGCATGTCGCCTGTGACACAGGGGATCAGAGAGAGCTCGGTACACGAGCTCCCTCCGGTCCCCTCTCCTCTGAAAGAATGCGGAAGTGTTGTATAATACATCACTTCCGCATTCTTGTGTCACTCTCCAGCTTCAGAAGCTGAAAAGAAGCTGATGGAGCCGATCTCTGCTTCATGAGCTTCTTTTGGGGGGTCCTAGGTGACATTAGGGGTCTTGGAGACCCCTGATGTCTCCATAAAGAGGACCTGTCACATATTTTGCTATCACATAGGGGGGGGTTTATTAGCCCCCGTATGTGATAGCAATAAAGTTTAGTGGAAAAAAAAAAAAGGAAAAAAAAATTAAAGTCCCCCCAAAAATTTTTTAAGTAACACATAAAAAGTAACACATAAAAAAGAATTACAAAAGTTTTTTTTTCAAAATTTTCAGTAATTTTTTCTAATTATAATAAAAAATAAAACCCCCAGTGGTGATTAAATACCACCAAAATAAAGCTCTATCTGTCCCTAAAAAATGGTGTAAAATTCATTTCAGTACAGCGTTGCATGACGGAATAAACGTCAGTCAAAGTATCGCAGCGCTGAATACTGAAAAATGGCCTGGATGGGAAGGGGGTCTAAACACCTGGTCTTGAAGTGGTTAACAGAGACATTCTAAAATTCAACTTTCTACAATATTCTTTAACAATGTCCTTCAGTTGGCTTACTTGGCAGGACATCAGTTAAAGTGATTCTGTCATGAGATAAGTATGGGGGCTGCCATTACTGGCCTCTGTCTCAAAGTGCCTGTTGCCTGACTGTTTCTTACTTAACTGCTTAATGTGCAGACAAAGAACGAGCATCTGTAAATGAGTGTCAGAATTGATTATCTCTATGCTTGTTCCGGGCCAAGACAACACGTGCACAGATGAAACACAAACTCTAATTTTCAAGAGTTTGTAAACGTCTAGAATTTTAGAATATAGAATGGCACAACGTTTCAGGGCCACACAGGGCCCCCTTCAACAGGCAAACAGCATTGTTTTGCCTGATGAAGGGGACCCTGCGTGGCCCCAAAACTTTGTGTCATCACTGTTTTGCCTGATGAAGGGTAACCAGCGTGACCCCAAAACGTTCTGTTGTGATACAGAGCATGTGTCAAAAAAGGTGTATTGATCAGCACACTGGAGTGCCAGTTACCCTTTCTTTTCTGATATTGAGCAGTGCCATCCGCTTGTCTCTGCAGCATCCACCTTTTCCAAAAGGGACTTACTAGTCAGGAATCCGATGGGACTTGGTCATTAACTTGATTGGCTCGTAGGACACTTTTATGACCGGTCAAGCTGTTCCCACAAAAGCCTGATATGACTGAGATCTGGAACTTCTTGTAGCCACTCCATCAAAGACAACACTACAAATTTTTCTTCATCAAATAGATTTTTGCTTAGTTTAAAAGTATGCTTTGGATTATTTTCCTGCTGCATGAAGAAATAGTGGCAACCTCTTATTCAAAATTAATATCCTACTACAAAGTAAAACAAAATGGTGGAAATTCACCAGAGATTTCCCCTGCGCTACTTTTTCTCTATTGCTAGATGTCCGCAGTCTAATGGCTGGCATCATTCAACCTTCTTTCTCTGAAGCCAGGCTGTCCTGGATACACCCCAGCCTGTGACTGGACAGTGAAAGGGGAAATAGCACAGTAATGAGCATTGTCACTGTGATTTCTCCTCTTAACAGCAAGCTTCTTGTCAGCAACTTAACTGACTGGCTCATGCACAGCCTCTTCCTCTCACAGTCTAGTTCTACTGTACAGGGACTGCAAGATGCAGATGCCAGAGTTTATGTTTTTTATCTGCCTAGAATTCAGCTTTAATTATTTCTTGTACCTCTAAATATCTCATCCTACCAGAGCAGCCCAATGCTATAGCATGACCTCTACCGTGCTGTACCGTGCTGTAGGATATTAAGCACTAGCCTAGTACCCTTGCATTTGCTTCCTTACTTGATCCAAACACCTCCCAGCTTAGACTCCTCCATGCATAATGCTATTTCCCCGTTATTCTGCATCCAATGTCTGTGCGTTTTTGAACAGTTTATCTCTTTGCTATGTTTGCCAGTTTCATGGCTTTTTCTTAGAAATTCTGTCTCTAAGCCAACATTCCAGAGTTGTCTTTTTATTGTTGCAGATGACACTGGCATTTGAGGAGTACCTTTAGAGTAGCAGACATCTAAGGACAAGTATGGCATCCATTTCTAAAATTGCAGACTCTGATGCACTAATTATTTTATGTAGATGTGAATCTAGACCTTCTGCTACTTTATCCTAGATCCAGTTTGCCCTCTTTGCACAAGACAATATTGGATGCCTTTTAGGGATTTTCAGTTTCTTCACAATGCTATATAAATAATAATCTTCATTTTACAAAACAACAGTAGCCTAATGTGTTTATTCATTTTGGTCATTTAAACTAGCACAGGAATAAGACCTACACTGAGATCGATCTACATATCTTATCTCCTTCTGAGGTTTGAAAATGAGTTTACTATGTGTGACTATAGTGCGAAGAATGTAATAATGCGCTGTAATAAAAGTTGGTCACATCTGGAGAGTTTTATTGCGGGACGAAGAAAATTCAGTTCCCAGACTGTAATCTGCATTCCAGGATTTCTCAAAGATAGAAAATGTGACTATTGTGTTTCCTTACAAAATATCTTACAGGCTTATGAAGTGCAATGACCCATATTGACCAATCAGATTTCTTTAATTTGGGCATCGGCATAATTTAGCCTAAGCTAGAATCCCTATATAATCCTAAATTCAGAAATACTGCTAGTGGCATGCCTAGTTGTGTTTTTTTTAATAGCAATTCACTAAATGTCAAAGGTCTCCAGAACCTATACATGGTCATTTCTCCCAAACCTATAGCCAAGCTGATGGACCATACAGTAAGTGCATGTATATATCTTTGAAAAAACCTTACTGCATTCTTAATACGTGTGCATCTTAATATAAAATTGACAAATTTCTTAATAACTAGATAGAAACACTTGGATTTTGTGGTTTATATAAATACTATATGTCTGTCTATATGATTACAGAGACCTTATAAAGAAGCTCCTTGTGGTGGACCGAACCAGAAGACTTGGAAATATGAAGGTTAGTAAAGAATATACATAGCTGGCACAATTCACTATAAACATACAGTATGTACGTCTGCATAAGTTCAGTAGCTGTCACTTACACTACGTAGTCTCTTGATGTGTATATTTGAATCTGCCATTTACTAACAATGCTAGGGTAAAGAATGACTCTTTGTGTGTGCCTCTCAGAACAGCAACCTTGTATCTTGCGCTCCGAGATCTGTCCCAGAGAGGGCTAAGGGCTTATGCACACGGCCTCAAGAGGGCCATACACTGCACATCCCAGCATATTAATTCTTGCCGGGACTGGCCTCATGTAGCTGTGCAGTGCACCTGTCATTCCAGGCAGGAGTTATATGCCAGGATGTGTGCAGTACGGCCCTCCTACAGCCGTGTTCAAAAGCTTTAGTCGGTTGAGTTTGCTTTCCAGGCCCAAAATTGCCAGTCCTCTCCTATTTATAAGATATAGGACGATATATGCAGAAACTATTGGGTGCCTGGTATTCATCACTGCGTAAGGTTTAGGACTTTGAAATTGAATACAGGATTAGTATGTTCAGGAAGTAACAGTATACATTTGCTAGATGTGGTGTCATCACCACTTTCTCATTTTATTGTAGTATTCTACTTTTCCCTAAAAATTGAATTCTTCCTTAACCCCTTTCTGCTGGTGAAATGCATATATGGGCCTCAAAGCCAGGTTGCCATATATATGCGCCCATGGGGCTCTGCTGTTCTGTGTTGAGAGGGCACTCACTGTGTGCTCCCAACACACTAACCAAGCTGTTACAAGCAGCTCTTGTTGCTGTAAAGAAATCATGAGCTGGTCGGACAGGCTACAGATCATGTGACCTCCGTGACAGCCAATCATAGCAGTCAGATGTTTAAACCAAATTAACAGCGCTAGTAAGTGAATCAAAAAACCATATAATCGTGTTTGTGAACTACAAATCATAAGAAAACCACATAAATGCAAGTGCCGTTAATCAATAAAAAACACAGCTCTGTAATAGTTAATAAACATGTGTACGATTAGGAGGTGATTTTTAACCAAGTGCTTCTAGGTGTCTCAGTGTGTAAAAATAAAGTGGATCAGTCTATACACATTAAAAAATCCTTCACTTTTTTACACCTTCATGTGCATTAATACCATTAAGTGACAAATCATATGCTTGAAAAAAATTCAGGTGGGTAAGCAAAAATACAAACGAAAATAATTGTGAATGACAATTAATTGTGCTGACAAAAAATATATATAAACAAATAAAGTCTCTGTAATACACAGCTCCGCTTCAAAGCCAAATAGCAGAGCCTTCCAATGCTCGGTAGAGTAGTGCTTTCCTGGGGTTTGTATTAAGATCAATACATCCCCCTAATAGAGTGCGTACTCACCCCTAACTTTCGGCTGTAACAGACAGCCCCAAACGCTTTGTCTGATGGGACACCGTTACTGCGGTGTCTTTCGTATCTCGTTCTTTACCATCAGTCCTCAGTGTAAAGTATTCCCACAGTCATGCAAAGAAAAATTATTTCATCGGGTAATAGTTCCAAAAGTAGTTTATTTAAAATTTCTTTAAAATTCAAAAATCACATTCGGCCGGTCCGAAAACAAACGTGTTTGGTATGGTAGACCTGCCCCAAACACGTTTGTTTTCGGACCGGCCAAATGTGATTTTTGAATTTTAAAGAAATGTTAAATAAACTACTTTTGGAACTAATACAGCAGCTTGTATTTTACATCACAATATTTATTTATTTATATTGATGTGTTGACACGATACACAAAAAATTAATCACATTGACTTTGCAGTATTTAATATAAGTAATGTGTTAAGGAAACACTATTTTGGTTTAAATCACTGCCATCTGTGTGATATACAGCTAATTGAACTCCTAGCGCTGCTTGTTATATCATAGCAGTCAGATGATCAGGTCACCTGATGTTAAAACCCTGATAAAGGGTCGGCAGGAGGCCAGGGCAAGGGGTCAAAAGGTGTGCACTTACTTCCTTTTTAATATGACTCTTTCGATAAGTTATATTTTACACTTGTTAATTATAGAAAAACAATGTAAAGCTGAATGAAATCTATACTTTCTCTTTATTAAAGAATGGAGCAGAAGACGTCAAACGCCACCGATGGTTTAGATCTATAGACTGGGATGCGGTGCCACAACGGAAATTAAAGGTATGAAGATGCAGTAATGACAAGAATTTGCAATTTATATTTATCGAATGCATTAACTATATTTTATTCCTACAAAATTAGATGCAGAAACATTACAAGTACACCCCAGGCAAATTGAAAATTAAGCCTTCCTCATTCTCCTCCATCTGGCAGGCAAATGTAGGGTCAACAATGGCAGACTACAGATCTTGCTAGGAGCTATATCTGAAGATCCAAGAAATTTAGACCAAATGTCTAGATTGTATAGAGGACAATGGAAGGACTTTTATGACAATTACCATTCTATATATGTATAATAGAAGCATAGGGGCAGGTGTGCTGCATATCCCAGCTATCTGAATGTGCAGAGACTACACTCTGCTGACTTTAGTTATGATGGGAATTTTTCTTGCAGCTGTGACAGTGCATCACAAACTTGATCAAGATGCGTTAGCATCTGTGTAGCTGAGACCTGTAGCAGATACAAATCTTTCTCAAGCGATCCTGTCACTAGCAATAACTCATCAGCAACAGGACTACTTACCTTCTCTTATAGATTCCTTGCAGCTGGGTTGCATTGCTTCTTCGTTAGCCGTATCATAGCTCCCTCACTAATAAGCTGGATTCTGCAGTGTTCCAGCTCAGCAAGTTAGTGACCCCAATTAGAATAAGTGATTGACGGTGATTCTGCCAGTGTTGCCAGCTGTGTTGTTGCCAGTGTGACATTTTTAGGATTTTATTTTATGAAGAGCTTCTAAAAATATAAAGTGGATCAAACCTGTTATGAGGGAAACATGAAGGCTGCCATTAGGGGTTCTCTTATGTAAAATGCAAGTTGCCTGTCTGTATGGCTCACCCTCTAGCTTCAATACCTCAATCCACTGACCAAAATCAAATATGGAAGCAAGAATTTCTGGCTCCTGTTTGATTTTTCTGATAAGCATACTTGTCCCAGATCATACTTGCTCTATTAAAGCAAGTGGGTCAGCACTTTTCAAAGCAGGTCAGTAAAGGCCCGTTTTCTACTGATGAAAGGTTTACTTGAAATTAAGAAACGTTAGCCCCAAATATTTTGTACTTAATGCTTTACTGGTTTTTGTTTTTTTTTTTGTTCCTTCTATCACTAGCCTCCAATAATGCCAAAGGTATCGCATGAAGGTGATACATCGAATTTTGAGGCGTATCCCGAGGATGATTGGAACAAAGCTCCTCCAGTACCTCCTAAAGACCTAGAGATGTTCAAAAACTTCTAACTGGGTAAGAATCCTATCAAATCCACAGAAATTAAACATTTCGTTTTGTAATTTTACCATTTTTCCTTTGGAAACCAATATGTCTTTTACTACACAGATCCAACATTTGGCCACCACTCCTAGCAGAACTGCCAGTTAAAATTTTATTTGCACAAATTAGTTTTCAGAATGTTCATTTGATTAACCAGTTCTTAATGGGAAATTAAATAATCAATTTCAACCATAGTGATGAAAAAATTGAAGGGTTAGGGTGAACATTTTTTGTTAAAGGAAATTTTAACAGTGAATGTGGTTTTCATTCGGGAAACTCCATTCATTCCATAATTGAATGTTGAATGACATTCGTCAAGTTTCTGATGGCATGTTCTAATGAGACTTTTCTTATGAAAAAAAAATCTACCAGTGGATAACTAGCTTAAACTGACACTAAACTCAGGAGTCAAATCAAGCACCCTAATATTAACCGTACTGTACCTTATTTGTGGATCACTCTGCTGTAGATCCTCAAATTATCTTTGAATACTTCTGGGGAGTGGCTACTTTTGTGTTCTAAAGTAGCAATCACTCCATGTGATGGACTGCGATCTCACGTTTACTTTTCCAATTTGTATTGAGTTTGTAGTCCATCAAGGGAGTGATGTTGGAGTGGTGGCTACTTTACAACACACACAGGAACCATGAGGAACAAAAGTAGCCACCCTCCAGAAGGAAGGACAGTGTCAGTATGAATTCAGAGATGATTTGAGGATCTACAGCTGAGTGATACACATATAAGATACATTTTTATTAATAGTTAGGGTACTTGTATTAATTTTTAAGGTTCAACTCTTAAGTTTAGTATCACTTTAGGGATAATCATTCCCTATACACTTCTTAGGGCCTGACTGAAAACGCCTACTGCTTAAAGAGTTCCACTCCCACACCTTTCTTTTATTTCTGCCAATAACAAGCTGTCAGGGGTCCTAGCCTTCCCTTGCTGTGCTAAAAACATTTGTTTTGCCATGTTGCTGTCAGAGATATTTGTCCTCCTTTCCTGACTGCTATAAACCATTATCACTGTGAGGAATGTTAGGAAAATCTAGCTAATGGATCTTGGAATTTTAGTAATTCTGAACTCTATCCAACACTTAAAAAAAGTTTTAGCTGGACATATATGTTGATTTGTCTGCTTTAGAGCACCATTTTTATTTTTATCTAGGCTAAAAATGTTAGAGTGAGCAGCTAGTGCTAGACCTTCTCTTTAAAGAGTCTAGAATGCTTTACAAAATCTTAGTCATAGGCGCACCCTTTATTAAATGCTTAACTAACATTTAACAGAGATAACTGAAAATGATAAATAGGTTAATGTATGATAAACATAAACAAAAATCATTATAATTTGCTTTTAAACTGCTTCTCTGGAGCAGGGATTGTTGTGAATGGTCGTTTGTGCCTTTTTTTAAAGGGCAATTTTAGTTTGTTGTTAGGCTCTGTATAATAGTGGTAATAAAAATAAAACATAATACGTCCTTTATAGGCCTAATCTACTGTATATTTAACTCATTTTCTTTGTTTCTTTTTAGAAAACTAGAGAAAGAACAAAAACAACGTTAAAAAAAACTTTGTGAATAAAATGGAAATCCACTGTCATCCTTGACAGCCGAAATCTCTGTACAAAGAGAAGATACCTCTGTTAGACATGCTTATGATCAAAAACATGACAAGCCATGGCCATTTTTAATTACTGAATGGCGCTGGACATTTGCAGATAATACGCTTCTTAAACGCAACATGACCGCAAAATCCCATGCATTCCAGTGCATATGGTCCTTAGTACTAGAGCATGTGATGCTGATGTGGAATATGTAGCTGACCATCATTGCGTTTTGTGTAGTGTCAGTTCAATTTTGAGCTCATTTATAGGCAAACAAAATGCAAATTGTGACTAAGCATTTCTTGCCATTTCCATTGCAAGTAGTTCAACAACAGCAGTTCTGAAATGGGTAGTAATAATGATGTATTATTTGTTCAAGATTCTACATTTATGGGCTCACATTAGATAGGTGCTAAAAGGGAATGTTTTCTGACCTCTGCTTAGGAAGTTTTATGTTATAAGAAAATCATTTTTTTGCAATTTTTAGAATATTTGCAGGATTCATTTTCCCTTCCCCTTGTTTGTGTCTAAAATAATATATATACAAGCCAGACATTTTTACAGGCAAAATACAAAAGAGTGCATGTTTTACAGTCATTAGAAGACCATCAAAGTTCTTGCTAAAATGACTGTACTAAAGTACTGTTCTTATATGATATCGATACCTGTCACCAAGGCAAGTACAGTGCATAGTGAGGACAATTATCATCTAACAAAATTGTTTCCAAAGGTCTCTAAATGCAACTTTATTTTGTTTTCTTAATCTGGGAAGGCAGCTAACCTGATCTCTTAAACCTGACCACCTTAGTAATGTGTTGTCCATGGCTGCCATGTTGACTTGTTTGAAACCACTGTGAGCTATGCTGTACATACCCCAACAGTTCTTATTTTTTCTTAAGGTATGTATGGGCCAAACTTATTTTTTTTTTTACTTTGGATACAGTAGGGAAGGGTTAAAAGCCCTGTCAGTGTATGTTTTTTGCGGTCTGTGTCCCTTTGGAGGGATTCCCTTTTCTTCCTGACCCAGAGATGCAATAGAAAGTGAGAAGAAATCTCTAAAAAGTGAAGCAAATTCCCCTCCTAGACAACAGAACAGGTGTTTCCAGTGGAAGATTTCCACATACAGTTTCTGTGGCATTTCCACTTCCGGTTTCTGTGACAACTGAAAAATTATGGATTTCCCATCACCGTAGAAAATGGTCACCAGGACCAACAGTGACTCAATGTTCAGAAATAAAGGGTGCCATACCAAAAGGGGAAAGAGTCCAAAAGTGCCTTTAATTGTTTATAATTCGATCAAACAAAAAACAGCCAACTGGTGTGCAACAACACTCTCCCTCAGGGCTACAAGACAAATAGCATAATGATGATAATAATACTATAAGCTCAATAATGATACATTTATTGAACACTTGTACAAATTTGTATAAAAAAAGTCACTGGGGTTAATACCAGTCTTAAAAAGCTATTTCACAACATTATTATATAATTATACAGGATTATAATATGATAATATATTATACCATCAAGATGGTAAAGAGGGTCCAGCCCATGAGAGATTACAATCTAATATTTGCTGATAAATAAAACATGTGCATAAGTAATATGAGAGGAAAAAATGATAAATAATTGATTAAAGGACTTTCTCTTTGGACTCTAAAGACTCCCGTTATGCCCCTATCATTGCTCTCTTTACCTTAGGACTCTATCGGGTGCACAGTGAAACCCCCAATCATGAGAACTGCCTAACCACAACCATTGAGCTTTATCAACTATATTCCATTATGTGATGTTGGATCTCAATTAACTCATGACCGAGAGCTTTATATCCAGATCCTTCTGACAATATAAACCTGGCAGAGATCTTCTAAACCTTCCCACTCTTTCCAAAACAAAAAATACACTTTAGCCTTCCCATGTGTATGACTTTTTGTAGGCAAAGATATTCCATAAATAAGTTGGTAAAGGTTTTCTGAAATCGCATTGTTTAATATTGCATAGCAGATTAAAGTTCTTAACTATTAAACGGTTATTTAGTTGTTTTAGTTGGGTTTTTTTTTGGGGGGGGGGGGGGGGGGGTTAGCATTTTTTTTTGTTTGTTTTTTTGTCTC